CCAGTATAATTCTTTTTTTTTTAAAATAATTAAAAATAATAATGTATGCACTCACTAACTGTAAGTCGCTCTGGATAACCCTTCTATTCTCATTGTTTCTACAGATTGAAAATATTTTTTTTTGCAGAAAGTATTATTATATTATTGATCGATTGACTATGACTTTTCAGAGCACCCAGTAGTGCTATCTGCAGGGTTAGCTCCAGGTAAATATTGCAATACTTCAGCCATTCCTGGACCTGTGACCAAAAACAAGCTACAAATGGACAGTACCAAAACAAATGATCTAATGATTGTCTCTTCGCAGCAAAATCTGCAGAGCTGGGAAGATTGTATCCCCCATATAAATAATATTCTATTGGTAGCAAGAATTTTGTATAATGATTTAAATTGAACAATTCTACGTTTTAAATCAGGTGTCGTTTTGCGTATCAGTTCATAAACATTTGCCATGGAATCGGTACGTCAAATCTCTTCCCAACTATTTTGCAATCTATATGGGACGGCTGTCAAGCCTTTGGTCCTTAAATGAAACTGGTATTCTTTTTTATTTATCACAATTTTCTTTAACCAATTATGTTCTTTAATGCAGGGCCGACAGGCAAGTTCCTTACTTTTTCCCCCTTCCACTTTCCTCTTCCATTTTTGCGGTAATGCTGCAATTATTTGGTTGTAATTTTGGGTAGAGCAGACATTTCCATATGTTTTGCGACATAACTCCACCAGTCCTACCGATGATATAATTTACGAAGATTATACTTTTTTTTTTATATATAATGTTTTTTTAATCAATTAGTATATTTAAGTTTAACCACAATATTTGTTGCATTATTTGTTCTGTCGTTTCTGGAGGATTAAATTGAAATTGCAGCCAACTTTCTATGGCTTGTTTTAGAAATAGTGATATTTTGGAAATGATTTCCTTTTCAAATAACTGAAAGTGAGAGGTTGTAATCTGAATAAAGGGAAAAAGGCCATTCTTGAACATGGGGTGAGACAATCTTACTAATTTGCTAGAGAACCAGTTCAGATTTAAGTATAACTTTTGTATGACTGAAGCTTTTAGTGATAGGTCTAATGCTTTAATATTTAATAATTTCTATCCTCCGAATTCATATTCATTATATACATTTTTATTTATTTTTTATTTATTTTTTATTTAACCTTTATTTAACCAGGTAAGCCAGTTGAGAACAAATTCTCATTTACAACTGCGACCTGGCCAAGATAAAGCAAAGCAGTGCGATAAAAACAACAACACAGAGTTACATATGGGGTAAAACAAAACATAAAGTAAAAAATACCACAGAAAATATATGTACAGTGTGTGCAATTGTAGCAAGTTATGGAGGTAAGGCAATAAATAGGCCATAGTGCAAAATAATTACAATTAGTATTAACACTGGAATGATAGATGTGCAAGAGATGATGTGAAAATCGAGATACTGGGGTGCAAATGAGCAAAATAAATAACAATATGGGGATGAGGTAGTTGGGTGGGCTAATTTCAGAAGGGCTGCGTACAGGTGCAGTGATCGGTAAGGTGCTCTGACAAATGATGCTTAAAGTTAGTGAGGGAGATAAGTGTCTCCAGCTTCAGAGATTTTTGCAGTTTGTTCCAGTCATTGGCAGCAGAGAACTGGAAGGAATGGCGGCCAAAGGAGGTGTTGGCTTTGGGGATGACCAGTGAGATATACCTGCTGGAGCCCATTTAATTTTGTCTGGCTTGCCGTTCCAAATAAAATGGAATATTTTTTTCTCATATAATTTAAAAAACTGTTCGCTAGGCGTAGGCAAGACCATAAGCAAATAGGTAAACTGGGATAATATTAAAGAGTTCATCAGGGTGATTTTTCCACAAATAGACAGGTATTTCCCTTTCCATGGTAGCAAGATCTTATCTATTTTTGCTAACTTTCTATTAAAATGTATTGGAGTGAGATCATTTATTTATTTTGGGATATGTATTCCGAGTGTATCCACATCACCATCAGACCATTTTATTGGTAAACTACACGGTAATGTAAAAATTGTATTTTTGAGTGATCCAATACATAATAAAGTCAATGTATCATAATTTGGTTGTAATCCAGAGAGGTTAGAAAATGTATCTAGATCCTCTATGAGGCTGTGGAGGGATTCAAGTTGTGGATTTAAAAGAAAACATGAATCATCAGCGTAGAATGACACCTTTGTTTTGACACCTTTGTTTTTCTAATCCCTTGATATTATTGTTGGATCTGATTTTAATAGCTAACATTTCGATGGCCATAATAAATAGATATGCCGATAGTGGACAACCTTGTTTTACTAGCTTATGTGGCTTTCCGCGTGTTAGGCTTGAAGAAGTTTTTAGCGTGTGTCGACATTCCAATAACGCCACTTTAGCGAGATGTTTCAAAATGTTAATGATCTATATATTAAACTGTACTTCAAGTCAATATTTTAAGACAAAAATGAAAGTGTATGCCGTTAAATTTCAGTATTTAAATGCGGGTATTAGGAGCTCTCTAAAGTGCTGCCATCTTATTCTTTATTTTTACTATTTTCTACATTGTAGAATAAAAAATTAAAATAAAGTGTTAAACATTTTAGATTCTTCAAAGTAGCCACACTTTGCCTTGATGACAGCTCTGCACACTCTTGGCATTCTCTCAACCAGCTTCACCTGGAATGCTTTTCCAACAGTCTTGAAGGAGTTCCCACATATGCTGAGCACTTATTGGCTGCTTTTCCTTCACTCTGCGGTCCAACTCATCCCAAACCATCTCAATTGGGTTGAGGTCAGGTGATTGTGGAGGCCAAGTTATCTGATGCAGCACTCCATCACTCTCCTTCTTGGTCTAATAGCCCTTACACAGCCTGGAGGTGTGTTTTGGGTCATTGTCCTGTTGAAAACCAATGATAGTCCCACTAAGCGCAAACCAGATGGGATGGTGTATCGCTGCAGAATGCTGTGGTATCCATGCTGGTTAAGTGTGCCTTGAATTCTAAATAAATCACAGACAGTGTCACCAGCAAAGCAACCCCACACCATAACACCTCCTCCTCCATGCTTCACGGTGGGAACCACACATGTGGAGATCATCCGTTCACCTACTCTGCGTCTCACAAAGACACAGCGGTTGGAACCAAAAATCTCAAATTTGGACTCATCAGACCAAAGGACAGATTTCCACTTGTCTAATGTCCATTGCTCGTGTTTCCCACAGCATTCTGCAGCGATACGCCATCCCATCTGGTTTGCGCTTAGCCCTCCAGGCTGTGTAAGGGCTATTAGACCAAGAAGGAGAGTGATGGAGTGCTGCATTTACCTGGCCTCCACAATCGCCTGACCTCAACCCAATTGAGATGGTTTGGGATGAGTTGGACCGCAGAGTGAAGGAAAAGCAGCCAACAAGTGCTCAGCATATGTGGGAACTCCTTCAAAACTGTTGGAAATGCATTCCTCATGAAGCTGGTTAAGAGTGTGCAAAGCTGTCATCAAGGCAAAGGGTGCCTACTTTGAAGAATCTAAAATCTAAAATATATTGTGTTATTTGTTTAACACTTTTTTTGGTTACTACGTGATTCCATATGTGTTGTTTCATAGTTTTGATGTCTTCACTATTATTCTACAATGTAGAAAATAGTAACAAATAAAGAAAAACCCTTGAATGAGTAGGTGTGTACAAACTTTTGACTGGTACTGTAAGTAAAAATACTTTAAAAGCAGTACTTAAGTAGTTTTATATTTTTGATATTTTTTACAACTTTTACTTTTACTTCACAAAATTCCTAAAGAAAATACGTACTTTGTTCTCCAATACATTTTCCCTGACACCCAAAAGAACTCGTTACATTTCGAATGCTCAGGCAGGACAGCAATGAGACCAGGCTGAGCAATATGGTCCAATTGATGTACCTGTCAATATAACGCATTGTCATCCCTATGGATCTGTCGGACTCACTTAACACAAATACTGTGTTTGTAAATTATATCTGAGTGTTAGTGTGCCCCTCTCTGTCTGTAAATACATTTAAAACAATAAAATTGTGCCGTCTGGTTTGCTTAATATAAAGAATTTGACGTATAGCATTTACTTTTTACTTTTACTCAAGCATATGCACAAAATCTGCCTGGTAGTTAACCGACCCTGGCAGATTAATGCTGGTGTGGGCCAGAACTAACTGTTATCTGGGATGAATTGAGAGAATTCCCCCAACCCTGAATTCCAGATAGGCCTGATTACCTATTTGAGTGTTCCATGGTGCAGAGTAGAGAGATCTACTGACGTGCGTAACATAGCAGGTTATATGATGAGGGACTAATATCTCTCCATTAGAGACTGTAACATAGCAGGTTATATGATGAGGGACTAATATCTCTCCATTAGAGACTGTAACATAGCAGGTTATATGATGATGGACTAATATCTCTCCATTAGAGACTGTAACATAGCAGGTTATATGATGTTGGACTAATATCTCTCCATTAGAGACTGTAACATAGCAGGTTATATGATGAGGGACTAATATCTCTCCATTAGAGACTGTAACATAGCAGGTTATATGATGATGGACTAATATCTCTCCATTAGAGACTGTAACATAGCAGGTTATATGATGATGGACTAATATCTCTCCATTAGAGACTGTAACATAGCAGGTTATATGATGATGGACTAATATCTCTCCATTAGAGACTGTAACATAGCAGGTTATATGATGATGGACTAATATCTCTCCATTAGAGACTGTAACATAGCAGGTTATATGATGATGGACTAATATCTCTCCATTAGAGACTGTAACATAGCAGGTTATATGATGATGGACTAATATCTCTCCATTAGAGACTGTAACATAGCAGGTTATATGATGATGGACTAATATCTCTCCATTAGAGACTTCCTGTAGTCATATGTTTGGTTATGTCCCAAATGGCACCTATTCCATACATAGTGCACTACTTTTGACCAGGGCTCCAGGGCTCCAGGGCTCCAGGACTCTGGTCAAAAGTAGTGCACTATGTATAGAATAGGTCCCTTTTGGGACAGACCCACAAATATATGACTACAGGAAGTCTCTAATGGAGAGATATTAGTATATAATAGGGTGCAATTCAGGAAGTGGCCAATATGACTGATAATGATGGAGAGACAGAACAGAATAGGGGGAGGAGGGTTAGGGGGAGGAGAAGAGGAAACCCCTGCAATGTGTAAGAATATAAATGCTGGGGCATGCAGCATCAGTCAGACAAAACAAGTAGCCTACCAACTTCACCATCAGTCAGGAGCATCCCTGGACACGGAGCCTACAAACAATTAACTGGAACATGACTTCTTCTACACACTGTACGTCTGACGTCACACTAATCCGCCGTTCTCCTTGGTCACAGAAGCTGGGTTGGATTTTTTGTATTCTGTCACTCACTCTCTTGCTCTGCTCTCCTTTCAGATCTCTCACTCCTCTCGGTGCTCGTTGTGTTAGTTAAGACGAGTCCCGTGCCCAGCGCGCTCTCTGATCTCAAGACCTCGGGATGGACCTCAGGAGAGGAGCTCGCGACAGACTCGTTCTCAGGTGAAACGGGCGCGCCCCCGAAGTGGGAGCAAATTGTCAAGATGCTTGTTCACGAGGTAACCACCTTCAGAGACCAACAGGTGAGTTGTTTTATATGTGTTTTACATTTTGAACGTTATAGTTGAAAACGACAATAAACATTGAAAATAATAAATTAAACCAATCTGAAAAATATAACTTTTATTCCTCCTTGTGTTGTAGTTTGTGGAGGAGTTTCAGAAGCCTGTGGAAGAGATGTCATCGTTCACACAGCACCAGGTCCCCTCCACCCCCCCACACCTCTCCAAGACACTTTGCTTCACCTCCAAAAAGGTAAAGATGGAGATCAATTAATGTCTCTGACCTGTGTCTGGAATTCTTTCCAAATAACGAAGCTACGGCATTCCTTTTGTGATCGAAATGAAAAATCCCCTAACTGAAAAATACGCATTTAAATGGTAGAAGCAGATGGACTGTAAGGTAGCAACATGCAACGATCTTTATTGTCTGACAGTCTGAGCCTAGTTCCTCTGTTTCTTCCTTCTAGAATCTAGGCCCTAGGGAGTTTAAATAAAATGTGACTAATTGATGAATTGATTGAGGGTGTTTGTTGTCCCCTCTCCTAAAGGAGGCATGTCTGCAGGAGATCAGTCGTGGTCTGCAGGTGTACCAGGTTCTTCTCCAGCACGTTAAGGCTGAATACCCACAATCCACCCTGCTCCCCTCTGTCACACACCAGACCACAGTCCTGATAGGGCTGGTCAAAGACCAGGTATGTAATATAAAAGTTATAGTATTATATTGGAATACTACTTAAATATCCTTTAAAAAATAAAAAAGTTGACTTTCATTGTAGTCCATGGGCTGATTTCCCAGACTTGCATTAATTCAGATGCCTACATTTTAGCACAGTCTTGTGGCACACAGATGCCCTAACGTAGTGTCTCTCTCTCTCTCTCTCTCCAGATGAAGGCTGCTGAGGTAGTAGAGGACCTGTCTGCCAGTGAGAGGGAGCGTGTGCTGGGTGAGGTGACTACAGGGACAGAGTGGGAGAGGAAGACCAGCGTTCACACCATCCTTAGGGAGCTACGTAACTTCCTGGTTGACACCAAGAGAGCCCTCTGCGGCATGGGAAAGAGGGGAAAAGGCTTCCAGTAACCATGACAACACCGCTGTGGGCAGAGGGTGTGTTATAGCAGGCCTGGAGCAGAAACCTGCAGTGTCTTATTCTCTAATGCAGTGGTTTCTTTTTATTTATTTATTGAATGTAGTACTTGACTGAACTTGAACTTGAAAACGATCAAAATATTTATGGTTGACATAAAATGCACTGAATTAATTTATTTTATTTGATTCATTCATTTGATCTCGAGAAGCTTTGTGCCTCATGTATACATTCTAGTAACTTTTTATACAAATATATATTTATAGCAAATAGTGTTATTTATTTCCATACAAATGGACTCCGAATGTATTTTTCTAATGATATGCTGTTGATGGATTTCAAGCTCAGAATTAAATGCATCTCCAAGTGCCTTAACAGTACATCGGTGACTTCATGTTGGACAGACACTGTGACAAATGTCGTGGATACAAAAATGAATAATAAATGGTCTCAGAGAATAGAGAAATGTGTTGCTCCTGTGTTGTTTGTTTACTGAACATAGTTTCAACCACATGGTTATTTGCACGTTGTCATCACAACAAAACATTATTTCCACTGATCGATAGGTGAATTGACCAACCAGTGAATCACAACAAACAGTCATCTTCTCTCAAAGGTGATTTATAGACAAACTCAGGTCCACTTTCAACCAACAGGCAGACATTTAAAGTAAAAAGACAAACACAGATCCATGACCAAATGACAAGATAACAAAGTTGTACATGTTCCCAAACAGAGAGGAAACAAAACAAGAGAGAAACGTTGGTCACTCCGCAGTAATGGAGCGGTTTCAAAATATGATGTCCATCACGCCATTGGGTGTTTCAGAATAAGAAGAACGTTCAGAGCTTCATGTCTCCGACACAACCTGAGTGACGTGACACTGAAAGTTCCAACCAACCTATAATATATGGGCCATATAGAAATTGGTGAGGGTAAGATGGCGTCCGTTTCCGTGGTGACAGCTGGGAGTCACATGACCACGGTTGGAGGTGGTGATTGGCCGGGTCAGGGTTGTCCTCAGCCCCACAGCAGACTGGAAGAGAAAAAACAAGGTCAGAGGTCATCTTCGTCTGAATAGTACGGCTCCCCATTCCCTATATAGTGCACTACTTTGACCAGAGCCATGGAACACTATTCCCTATATCAGGTGGCCAAACCCCAGACAGACAGACAGACACACAGTATACCTTAGGATGTTTGGCTCAGGCATTCCAGGATCCCCCCCCCGTGCAAAACCTGTCAATCAAAAAACAAAGGAGAGCAGAGATGAAGAGAAGCAAATTGTTGAAGAGATGTTAGTTGCACTCCCGAACTTCGTTTTTTCAAAGCCTGCTTAACATCTGTTTGTATCTGAGCTGTTTTCCAATAGAACAGGCTCCATCATATCCTCGGACTCAAACTGGCCATTGTAGTTATCTAGCATCAGTAGCGTGTTCCCGAGAAGGGGTGAACATGCGTGTTGCGTAACCAACTCTTGAAGAGTCATAACATTCCAGACCTGAGCATCGGGCAGACAGTGTCGGGATTTCCCCTACTTCCTGACCCTTCCTCAACCCCTCTCTCTTTCTCGCCTTCTCTTTGTCCACCCCAATCTCTCTCTCTCCCTTTCCTCCTCTGTTTCCCTCTCCCCCCTCTCCTCCTGGCCAGCAGTTGTCCCTGTGGTCCAATAGAGATGTCAGGGAAGGAAGCTGAATGTTGGAACTGACTACCCTAATAGCTAAGACACATCGCAAAGATGAACGGCTAAAAGCAGCCACGGTGGCCACGATGTGCTAGCGATCATTTGCTGGGTGTGAACGGACGGCGGAGATTCAACATCTAGAACCGTCTGGAAATGTTTTTTGGTCTCTAACACCTGTTACTGACCGGTGAGAGAGGGGAGGGGATAAGAGAATAGCAACCTTTAAGAGTGGACAGCTAGCTTGTGAAACTCAGTCAGTGTGTCATCATAAGTTACATTTCTGTTTCTGCAACCATTCATTCACTCCATTCATTCATGCCACATTGCATCACCATCCTCATTCCTGACACTGCAGACATTCTGGGTTTCCCCATCACATTCTCTGAAGATAGTTAGTGTGTGTGTGTGTGTGTGTGTGCGCATACTGTGTATCCATGCTAGCTTGCGGTAGACACTCAAGGGTTCCCCCAGTGTAACTATCTCCCTCCCAGAGAAGCTGTAACCACTCCGGAGCTAAATATAACTACTGGTCTGGTACCAAAACATTAGCCCACGTAGCATAAGAGATGCGCTGTGCGAATCAAAATTGTTGATACCCAATAGCAATGTGCATTCTGCACTGGTCTCTGAATACAAGTCATGGTGCCCCCACACAAACCATAACCCTCAGTTTGCACCTAGAGAGGAGAGGGGGATCCTTGGAAAGGAGCGGTGCAGTTTCATCAAAAAATGGACAGCTGTGCCATATAGATTGCAAAATAGTTGGGAAGAAATGTTTGATGTACCGATTCCATGGCACATGGTTTATATATATATAGGGGATTCAACCATCCCAGCTCTGCAGATTTTGCTGCGAAGAGAATCATTCGATCATTTGTTTTGGTACTGTCCATATGTAGCTTGTTTTTGGTCGCAAGTTCAGGAATGGCTGAAGGATTGCAATATTTACCTGGAGCTAACTCTGCAAATAGCACTGCTGGGTGATTTGAAGTCATTGTCAATCAATCAATAATATAATAATACTTTTAGCAAAAATGTTTTTCTTTAATTTACAATCTGTAGAAACTATGAGAATAGAAAGGTTCAGAACTTTTGTGAAACATCACAGCACAGCTGAAAAATATATGGCAAAAGAAACCTAAACTGGACATGTGTTAAGAGACTAGATTGGAGGGTTGGGCTAGCAAGGCACTAGAGATACCAAACGAACACAAGAATGCTAAAAATGTCTGCCGTCACTGTACGACCAGTCAAAAGTTGGACCACTACTCATCAGGTTTTCTTTATTTTTTACGCTTTACATATACGTGCAGGCTCAACTATGAAATAACATATGGATCTGTAGTACAGAAATGTAACTCATATATGATATTTGAGTCTTCAATAGCCCCCTTGCCTTGCACTCTGCATATCTTGGTTTTCATCCCTCACGGGGAGTCCCTGGAATGCATTCATTAACAAGTGTCTTTCAAAGCTATGTGGATCACTCTGTTCCTCAATGCTGATAAGCCAGCGTCTGTTGTAATGAGGGGGCTAAAATGAATAGCCCTATTTGGTAAAATACCAAGTCCATATTATGGCAAGAACATCCTCTGTAGCTCAGCTGGTAGAGCACGGCGCTTGTAACGCCAGGGTAGTGGGTTCGATCCCTGGGACCACCCATACACAATAATGTATGCACGCACGACTGTAAGTCGCTTTGGATAAAAGCGTCTGCTAAATGGCATATTATATTATAAGAACAGCTCAAATAAGCAAAGAGAAACGACAGTCCATCATTACTTTAAGACATGAAGGTCAGTCAATACGGAACATTAAGAACTTTGAAAGTTTCTTCAAATGCAGTCGCAAAAACCATCAAGCGCTATGATGAAACTGGCTCTCATGAGGACCGCCACAGGAAAGGAAGACCCAGAGTTACCTCTGCTGCAGAGGATAAGTTCATTAGAGTTACCAGCCTCAGAAATTGCAGCCCCAATAAATGCTTCACAGAGTTCAAGTCACAGACACATCTCAACATCAACTGTTCAGAGGGGACTGTGTGAATCAAGGCTTCATGGTTGAATTGATGCAAAGAAACCACTACTAAAGGACACCAATAAGAAGAAGAGACCTGCTTGGGCCAAGAAACACGAGCAATGGACATTAGACCGGTGGAAATGTGTCCTTTGGTCTGGAGTCCAAATTGGAGATTTTTGGTTCCAATCGCCATGTCTTTCTGAGAAGCGGTGGGTGAACGGATGACCTCCGCATGTGTATTTTCCACCGTAAAGCATGGAGGAGATGGTGTTATGGTGAGGGGGTGCTTTGCTGGTGACACTGTCTGTGATTTATTTAGAATTCAAGGCACACTTAACCAGCATGGCTACCACAGCATTCTGCAGCGATACACCATCCCATCTGGTTTGGGCTTAGTGGGACTATCATTTGTTTTTCAACAGGACAATGACCCAACACACCTCCAGGCTGTGTAAGGGCTATTTTACCAAGAAGGAGAGTGGTGGAGTGCTGCATCAGATGGCCTGGCCTCCACAATCCCCCAATCTCAACCCAATTGAGATGGTTTTGGATGAGTCGGACCGCAGAGTGATGGAAAAGCAGCAAACAAGTGCTCAGCATATGTGGGAACTCCTTCAAGACTGTTGGAAAAGCAGTCCAGGTGAAGCTGGTTGAGATAATGCCAAAAGTGTGCAAAGCTGTCATCAAGGCAAAGGGTGGCTATTTCAACAATCTCAAATATGAAATATGTTTTGATTTGTTTAACACTTTTTGGGTTACTACATGATTCCATATATGTTATTTCTTAGTGTTGATGTCTTCACTATTATTCTACAATGTAAAAAATAGTAAAAACAAAGAAAAACCCTTGATTGAGTAGGTGTATCCAAACATTGACTGGTAGTGTATATAGTATGTATAAGCTGGAAGTAGAAGCTTAAGTGTTGTTATCCATTAGTTTACTCCAATTAGTGGAGGGGATGGTAGGGTTAGGGTAAAATAATAAAGGAAAATATATTTACAAAAAAAATATATGGGGGATTGGAAATGATGCAGACAATTACATTGATGGAAGCTACAATCTATCTGCAATATTAAAGCTGATCTACCCCCCCCCCCCCCCCCCCCCCACTATTTATAAATTCGAGTTAGGGGAAGCTCGTTTGCGTATTGCGACCACTGCATGCGATTGGAATTGCATTATCAGCTGTATGTTTTTCCTATTTCAATTAGGTAATTTTAGATAAGCCACGCCACCACCCCCACATTTATGGAGATTTGTGGCCGTCGCCTGACAAAGGGATTTCCTGTCGAAATAATAGCTAAACCAGCTAGTTAGACTTTTCCCAAACTCGGTCCTGGGGACTCCAAATGGTGCACATTTAGTTTTTTGCCATAGCACTACACAGCCGATTCAAAGGATCAACTCATCACTGTGTAGTACTAGGGCAAAACCCAAAAATGTACTAACCATGTGGTGTGTGTGTGCGCTGGGGTAGCTGCGGTAAAACAGCGCTGTGGCTGAAGCGTTCAGGGTCAAATGGCGAGATCAGAATCATGGTTCCCCACGGGAAAAACCAACCTTTTTTTAGTTAGCTAGTTTCCCTTGACAGCTAGGGCGTACCTGTGTTAATTCAGGGACTGTCTCTATCAGGTTTCATTTCCCAATTCACACTCCTAGCTATGATAACTGACTACTGTGAACCACAGCTCAGCGTTTCCCAAATTTGGTTGGTTTCTCGCGTGGGGGCCCATGATTATTATCTCGCCTGTGACACGCGAAAGCCGTACACACACACACATATCAAAGCAGTAGCGCACCGCTGCAGAACATTTGACCCTGAACGCTTCAGCCACAGCGCTGTCTTACCGCAGCTACCCCACCGCACACACACCACACAAACAAACTAAGGTTTAACACTAAGAGCCCCAATGTGTGTTTAGCCTAGTTTCCTTTGACAGCTGGGGCATATCTGCGTTAATTAATTCAGGGACTGTTTCTCTCTGGTTTAATTTTCCCATTCACACCCCTGGCTATGATAACTGACCACCGTGAGCCACAGCTCAGTGTTTCCCAAACTCGGTCCTGGTGTGCACATTGTGTTTTTAGCCTGCGCTAGGACACCCGGCTGCTAACATGCTAAGCTAATCGGCTAGGCCCGTACTAACCCAGATAGAGCACCGTGGGGATGAAACCCCAGCGGATGACGAACTGTCCGGCCTGGAACACCGTCTGCAGCCGTTGTTTGGTCTCTTTGCTGAGCTTCGCCATGGTACTATACAGGTAAACCCCGGCTAAGGTACACAGATATCTAGCGAGTTCACAGATTCTGTGAAGGACGTGAAAAAGCGGAAGTCGACGGAGGAAGCTTGGCCGTAAAGCAAGGCAGGTGGTTTTACTTTTTGCGACAGTTGGTACAATCACAATTGTGACGAGCGCCACTTTGTGGGCGCAATGGGAAATGTTTATCTGCTCCAAGTTTCTCGGTTACCTAGAAGTAAAATTCTCCCGAAAATTGTCACTTCTATCCGTTTACACGTGAATCTTTCCATGTGAGATTAGCTCCAAGCAAGCTCCTCATACTTCTCAAATGAACATTACGCCTAAAATTAAAATAATACATTCTGAAATATGCTTGCTCATAACATACAAACTGGCTGCATACTTTCACTCAGATGTTTGTGTTTGAGAACTAGGCCCATCATGTTATCTCCTGTGTGAGGGTGAGTGAGTGTGTGTGTGTTTGCATGTATTACTGCACTGTTGGTGCTAGAAACACAAGCATTTCGCTACACCCGCAATAACATCTGCTAAACATGTGTGACCAATAACATTTGATTCGAAGAAACGCAACAGACATATAGTGAAATATAGAAATACTTTATTCTCAGAGAGAGTATCTCTATCAGTGAGTTATCTTCAGACAGAAAAGCCAAAACAACAACTGAAGTCCAATAATATGTACAGATTCATGACATCCCGTAAAGCAACAGAATACAGTAACATGATTGTTATTGTTCCACCATATGAATATAAAACTGATCTAGAACACTGACTGACAGAACTCTGGGACTGATAGAACACTGGTTATAGAACACAAAGGTTCCAGAAGGGCAGACTTTATTCTGCATTCAGATGTCCAGTAGGAAACAACAGTGTTCTGTCTGACCTACAGACTCCCAACCATAGAAATAGAATGAATAGAATGGGCATCACCATTCAAGTCAATGATGGCATAATGGGTGGACTGGCGGCCATTGCGAGTGTGCCCATAGGAGCAAAGCAGGAAGTAAAAGCAGTATGTGTACACATCAATATGTGCTGTGATTTGTTTAAACTCAACTGACATTACAAGCCACATCAGTTAACAATTTGAATGAACATTCCACATTACCTTGGAAATGATTGCATCACAATACCAGGCAGCCATTGCGAGTGTACCTATGGGTTTACCAGTCAAATTGCCAGGGTTAGAGCTTCCAAGCCCGTTCTATTCATTCTATTTCTATGCTCCCAAAACTTCTCTCCATCTGCACTGCAGTGAACTTTATTGCCACCAAATGGAGAAGAGTGTGACTTTCTGACTCATATGTTCTGCTAGTCAGCAGTACACCTCTCCTCAAAGGGTGTTATTTATGTGTATTACGTTATAAAGCAGGTGATGAAATACCAGAGAACAGATTAATTAAAGATCAACCAATCAATCAATAAAGATCAACCCTTGCTTGAATAGGCCTACTCCCAATTCCCTAGCCCCTATACCCACTACTCCTAAGCCTAGGGATGTGTTTGGGATGGTGGTGGTGGGTTTGGGAGTGAGGCCTGTATCGTGCAGGGTTCGGTTCTTCTTGTGCTTTAACACTGAAGGGATTAAATACTGCTAAAACAACAACAACTATCTCTCTCGCAGGAAAATAGCACACATATAACTAGACTTTCTGCTGTACATAGAACACCACAGTTAAAAATGTAGACTCTGCAATATGACATCAGCATACAGGGTGGGGGTGACTTCCTGCTGAATCACTCCTTTCCCCTTTCGTTGGAGCGTCCCTGCGCGCCTCCGCCATATGCACAAGTGTCCCAAAGCTGAGGGAGTGGAAATGATCGAGGGTGTAGGGGGGCTAATTAGACCCTCCGATAGCCACTTCGGCCAAGCCAGCAAGGCTGCAGGCTTCAGAGCCAAGTGCTATCCTGACACGCACTGTGATATGTTTGCAATTTGATACAAAAGAATGGAGAGGCGTGCCTAATTATAAGCCCCTTGCAGTTGTCTGATTTCAAGATTTGACACATGTAACAGATGGAAAAACCTCACAAATTAAACATTTAACTGTTACTGAGGTTTATATCTTGTAAAATGACAGGGGGATTTGTTAATTTGAATTTCATGCTCATTTTATTATTTACAAGTGGAACATGAATTAGATCATTCAAGTCAGTAGTGTGTCCCGAAGTTGATGGGTTTAGTGATCCCTCTGGAAGTCACCCTCTGAGTTTCATCAGCAACGTGACAACGGAGGGCCCTCCAAGCGAGTTGGTAGGGGAGAGGGGGTGGTTTGGGATTCACTGTTACACTTATATCAATACTGTTAGCAGGAAGTCACACCACTGTGTATGATGATGTCATATTGCGGAGTGTATCTTTAAAAACCCAAGTCTCTCTCTTCATCACAGTTTACAAAAACAGTTCACACATCATCATACAAACATTAAAACAAACCCACCCCAATCAACTTACTGATCGGAAACATAACGACCCCAATCAACTTGTTTATTAATCCAATCCGATCAGTGAGAAAAGAACCAAAGAGAGATAGATATTGCTTCTAATAGGATGACATCAATCAATACTTTTCAGACATTTACGACATTCATAATTTTTTGGGGGGTTTCTATAATTTAGCAATCTGTCATTTAATCATTACGTGGGATGCAGAATTATTCAGACTGGATGAATAAATAGTTGCTATGGCAATGAGTGTGAACTTGGCATTGTGTTGGGGTTGTTCAAACCCTAGTGCATGATGAGTAGGAACACAGGATTACCACCTGGGGTGGGGGGGGGGGGCGTGGTCAGGAGGGACAAACAGGAGTCTTTTAAATACTCCATTTCCAAACCCTTTCAAAAAACAGTTGTAGTGAGTCACTCTGTCCAGTCTCGAGTTCTGTATGGTTACCACCAGGGGGGGGGTGGTTTAGTAACTCCAGGGTTGAGTGATGGACCCAGGCTCCCAGGCTCCCTGGACCCAGGCTCTCGCTTTGGGGAGAGAGGAGTGGGAGGAGAGGAGCCGGCCTTTGGAGGTGGGAAGCTGTCCTACTGGAGAAGAAGAGGTGGGGGAGATGAAGAATGGTGTGGAGAGGAAATAAGTGGGGATGGTGAAGAGAGGAGGGGGACGAGGGGGAATGTGTTAATGACTTTGTGTTCCAGTCCCACTGGCAGGCTGTTAGTCCAGGTCAAAGGTACAGGGGCATGAGGTTAGAGGGTTTAGATGGGGGGGTGAGAAGTCAAGGGTTAAATGTCAGGGTTCACAGGTCACTCCTAAAGTGCACGCTGATGCTTGGCGAGCGCTTGATGTGGTTGGGGGAGGGGCTTATATAGCCTAGCTCCTCCTCCTGTAGGCTGCCACTGCACGAATAGCGGGCAGCCTCTGGGTTACTACGGTTACCTCCAGTGTTGTTTCCTTCATAGGAGCGGGAGAACACGGCGCTGGCTGTACGCGATAGGCTGCTCAGAGCGCTATGGCCCGGCCCCTTGGGCACCGAATGGCTGGACGTCAGCGTCAGACGTTTGATTGACAGATCCAGGTTCTCGACCAGGGCCTGCCCCCCTGGAGGACAAGCCTCCTTCTCCTTATGCGACCGTCCGCCTAAATGCCACTTCCTGCTTCCTGTCTTGGTCCCTCCCACTCCAAGGGTGATACTGTTGCTGATAGTGATGGTGGGCGGAGTCAGCAAGTCTGGGCTGGCCCCTCTTGTAGGCCACACCCCTTCATCCACTTCCGAGATCTCCATCAACTCGTCCGGGGAACCCAAATCCACTGCGTCTAACAAGAGAGGGAGGAAGGGAGAGAGACGGGGGTGAAAGAGAGCGAGAAAGAGAAGGAGAGAGGAGTTAGTTGTCATTAAATGACAGAGAGTAGAATGGTAGAGCAGGCTACAGCACAGGACAGGAGAGGGGTAGCCAGCTAGCAGTGGTTGAAGTGAGCTGGTGCTGACCCCGGTAGTGAGTAGTACCGGCACCTTTTTCCATTCCACTTCAAGCACTGGTTGCCATTCAGCTGTACTACTGGGTGATTGCAGTTAGTGGTGCTGCGATCAGTTAACTTATCAGGTATCACCAGTTATCTGAGGGCAGCAACAGGCAGAGGTCTGGGCAGCAGAAGTAGTAGAAAGCAAAACACACCCACCACACACACACACACACACACACACCCACCCACCCACACACACTACCATCTACTATCTTATACTAGCAGACAGATAGGTAGGTCCTTCATTAAAACTGAACTGATAAATACTGAAATTAATACTAAATAAAAACGTTATAACATCTGGGGAAGAGACTCCCAAGTATGGACAGACTAGATAAAACCACTGTCTGATTTGATGAGCACAGTGACCTAATGGCCAATCCAGAGCTGCCTATCCTCCTCAGCTGCTACAGTTAACCAATCAGAAGAGAGCAGTCTGTATCCCCCGGCAACCCAGTGATGTGTTGGAGCAAGGCGTTTTAGAGACCAAAATACTTCGACACACACCAAACTTCCTTCACAGTGAATGGAGAACGGATGGAGAACGGATGGAGAATGGATGGAGAACAGATGGAGAACAGACGGAGAACAGATGGAGAACAGATGGAGAACGGATGGAGAACAGATGGAGAACAGACGGAGAACAGATGGAGAACAGACGGAGAACAGACGGAGAACAGATGGAGAACAGACGGAGAACAGACGGAGAACAGACGGAGAACGGATGGAGAACGGATGGAGAACAGATGGAGAACAGATGGAGAACAGACGGAGAACGGATGGAGAATGGATGGAGAACAGATGGAGAACAGACGGAGAACAGACGGAGAACAGACGGAGAACGGATGGAGAACAGATGGAGAACAGATGGAGAACAGATGGAGAACAGATGGAGAACAGATGGAGAACAGACGGAGAACAGACGGAGAACGGATGGAGAACAGATGGAGAACAGATGGAGAACAGATGGAAAGAGTGAGGAGGAAGAAGGGACCTCTCACACTGAGCAAATCGGAGGAAAATCGGAGGACATATCAGGAGAGAGGCAACGCAGCGCGGCAAAAGTTAGTCAGCAAACCAATCAGCCATCATGCTTAGATAAGACCACGCCTCCACACACTGTTACCTAGGTTACCCCGGGGATGGGGAGGGTCTTAGTACTGGGCCCTCCCTGCAGAGGCGGGCCCAGAACCCTCGTCCACCAATCGCCTCACAGACTTCTGCCTCCTGACCTCTTGACCCCTAAGACTGAGGTCGTGGGTGGGGCTGACCTCTGAGGCTGACCCCAGCGGCTCCGGCTCGGGCTGGGTTAAAGGTCGGGGGTCACGGGGTCGTAGAGAGTCTCCATTGGGCATCGTCACACTGATCTCTGGGATGGATGACCCTTGACCTCCAGGGGCCGCCGGGTCACTGTCTACACTGACCTCCTGGGACTCTGGGGTCATGGAGATGAAGACACAGATATGAGACAGACACACAAACAGACAGTAAAATAAATGTGATGGCAAAAAAATCATGATCACACAGTATACAGAATATAGTGATACTGCACATTCAGACAGTGATAATGTACATGCATGTATAATGATCCATACAGTAAACTATACAAACAGAGACAGTGATCATGTATAGACAGTGATTATGTATCAGTAATATGCATAGACAGTGATAATGCATCAGTAATATGCATAGACAGTGATAATGCATCAGTAATATGCATAGACAGTGATAATGCATCAGTAATATGCATAGACAGTGATAATGCATCAGTGATATGTATAGACAGTGATAATGCATCAGTAATATGTATAGACAGTGAATGCATCAGTGATATGTATAGACAGTGATAATGTATCAGTAAAAGTATAGACAGTGAAAGAGCATGGCGTTTGCAACGCCAGGGTTGTGGGTTCGATTCCCACGGGGGGCCAGTATGAAAAATAAAAAATTATAAAAAATAATGTATGCACTCACTAACTGCTAAATGACTAAAAATGTAAATGTAAAATAATGCATCAGTAATATGTATAGACAGTGATAATGCATCAGTGATATGTATAGACAGTGATAATGCATCAGTAATATGTATAGACAGTGATAATGCATCAGTGATATGTATAGACAGTGATAATGTATCATTAATATGTATAGACAGTGATAATGTATCAGTGATACATATAGACAGTGATCATGTATCAGTAATATGTATAGACAGTGATAATGTATAGAGAACAATATGGAGACAGATGAGCAGTGATGTAGTGAATAATACATAGATTAGTACATGTCTTGATGTGGAGAACCCATGGCATGCTGAACTCCAGTTCCTCCTGGAACTGATAACCTCTCATTAGTAGTGAGTAGAGCTGTGTGGATGGGAAGGGTATGGAACTGATAACCTCTCAGTAGTAGTCAGTAGAGCTGTGTGGATGGGAAGGGTCTGGAACTGATAACCTCTCATTAGTAGTCAGTAGAGCTGTGTGGATGGGAAGGGTCTGGAACTGATAACCTCTCATTAGTAGTCAGTAGAGCTGTGTGGATGGAAAGGGTATGTAACTGATAACCTCTCAGTAGTAGTCAGTAGAGCTGTGTGGATGGGAAGGGTATGGAACTGATAACCTCTCAGTAGTAGTCAGTAGAGCTGTGTGGATGGGAAGGGTATGGAACTGATAACCTCTCATTAGTAGTCAGTAGAGCTGTGTGGATGGAAAGGGTATGTAACTGATAACCTCTCAGTAGTAGTCAGTAGAGCTGTGTGGATGGGAAGGGTATGGAACTGATAACCTCTCAGTAGTAGTCAGTAGAGCTGTGTGGATGGGAAGGGTCTGGAACTGATAACCTCTCATTAGTAGTCAGTAGAGGTGTGTGGATGGGAAGGGTCTGGAACTGAACCTCTCATTAGTAGTCAGTAGAGCTGTGTGGATGGGAAGGGTCTGGAACTGATAACCTCTAATTAGTAGTCAGTAGAGCTGTGTGGTTGGGAAGGGTCTGGAACTGATAACCTCTCATTAGTAGTCAGTAGAGCTGTGTGGATGGGAAGGGTCTGGAACTGATCACCTCTCATTAGTAGTCAGTAGAGCTGTGTGGATGGGAAGGGTCTGGAACTGATAACCTCTCATTAGTAGTCAGTAGAGCTGTGTGGATGGGAAGGGTCTGGAACTGATAACCTCTCATTAGTAGTCAGTAGAGCTGTGTGGATGGGAAGGGTCTGGAACTGATCACCTCTCATTAGGACATTGTCCTACAGACAGACCACTACAGAGACAGACAAATGTCTATAATCACTAGAGTAGCTACAGACAATAGGCCAGATACCCTACTAACTCTAGGATAGAGTATCTGTGTGAGTGTGTGTGTGTGTGTGTGTGTGTGTGTGTGTGTGTGTGTATCTTACCATGTCGTTTCCATCGGTGTCCTCTGATAGAGAGTGATGTGACTGCATTCCGTGAGATCCTACAGGACGGAATTCACATTCAGAGGGACAATTATTAGTAGTTCGAAACAGGTAAACAGGAAACATTTGTAATTTTAGATCATCATCCATCAAAAAACAATATTGATCTAACTTGGCACATGATACTGTTATTGAATGCAATGTGAAAATCCAATAAATAAAAAATGTCCACACACAAAAGAAGATAAATCTATGAAACTACACCTATAGATGAAACATGTATACTGTGTAGATAGAGTTTATACAGAACATACCTAGAGGAAGTTGGAGTCACCTCCACCTGAATGATGCAAGCTCCTTCTTTACCACCGCCAGACTTTAGCGCTGCACACTGTTGGGACGACTTGATGGCATTACCCACCTAAACACACAATGTTAGGCATTGACAACGGTACCGTTGAACAACCACTGCCTGCTGTAAAGCTGTTTGATACAGCAGCAGCCTTCAGGATTACAGATTAACATCTCAAAGTCTCAACACTGAATAAACTACTGGGTTTACACACACACACACACACACACACACACACACACACACACACACACACACACACACACACACACACACACACACACACACACACACACACACACACACACACACACACACACACACACACACAACATGGGAGAGGTCAGTGTCCTGGCACACACCTGTGTGTGTGTGTGTGTGTGTGTGTGTGTGTGTGATGTCACCCACCAGTAGAGCTTCAGGGAACAGTTCTAACTGAGCTCGGTACAGAACATCATCCAGCGCCTTGGAACCCAGGTCCATCTCCCCATTACACCTGGAACACACACACACACACACATCAACCCTCTCGTTCACAGGGTCCGGGTAAAGGTTAAAATCAGGGGTCAGAGGTCAGGGCTAGTGTGTATCAAAGGAGGCTGGTGGGAGTAGCTATAGGAGGACGGGCTCATTGTAATGGCTGAATAAATGGAACAGAGTCAAACATGTGGTTTCCATATGTTTGATACCGTTCCATTAATTCCATTCCAGCCATTACAATGAGCCTGTCCTCCTATAGCTCCTCCCACCAGCCTCCTCTGGTGTGTGTGTGTGTTCTCACAGTGCGTAGTGTATCCCTGTGACGAGTTGAACCAGGAACTCAGAGGTGACGGTCAGACGAGAACTGATGCCTTTATACCTCCTCAGCTGTTGCCGTGGGAAACCACAGATACACACCCTGTTAACCAATCACAGGACAGAGAATACCATCAGTCAACCAATCACAGTTTAAAGAACACAGTCAACCAACCAGAACACAAAGGGCAAGCTTTGAGAAATGTGTCAGCCAGCGTATCTTTAAATAAAAGAGCACTAGGATTTGAAAAATCCATACCAGTCTAGGTATACTGCTATGTTTTGGCAGGTTTTGCAAGTAAACTTTCTTTTTGGGACAAGACAAAGAAGTCTATTACTTGTGTCTAAGTCTATTACCTCAAGCAGCCCTGTTCCTAAAGGCCACAGTGGTACCTGCCTGCAACTTTCTATCCAGTAGAACTGCAGTGAGCTGATCACCTCTCTGTGTCTCTTTAACTCAGTGTTCATCACACTGATGCTCAACCACTGCCAGCAGATGAACTACTCCTCAGAGAGAGATCTATATGTGTGTGTGTTTGTTTTCGTGTGTTTTCGTGTGTGTGTGTGTGTGCGCGCGTCCTAGCCCCTCTGGAAAGTGGTAGTACATTTTTTTTTGAAAGTATACAAATGCGCTGCAATTTTTCAATAAAATAAACTGCTGTTCCAATTGCGTCCACTGGATGGCGCAATAGCAATTGTGTTAAGCAAGCAAACTGTTTATACCGGGGCAGAGCAAGTAGGTCAAGCACGTGCAGCCAATGAGCTACTTTGTTTTGCCCGCGATATTTATTACGGCTTCTACTTTTAACATTATGTGCTTTGGCACCCTCATTGCCCCAATATGTCTCTGTCAAAAAAGAGAAAAGTGGACGCAGAGTGTTCCAAGAAAAATGGTCATCCTATTTAATCACGGAATTGAATGAGAAAGCTGTATGTTTGGTGTGTTCAGAGCATGTTGCAGTGCTGAAAGAATATAACCTTCGTCGCCACTATGTGAGTCTTCATGCCGACAAATATGACAACTTTCAAGGACAGCGGAGATGAGAGAAGGTGAATGAACTGTTGGCGGGTCTGAAGAAACAGCAGTCTGTGTTTACTCACAGCCGAGACATCAGTGACGCTGCAGTGAAAGCTAGCTACCTCATTGCTAATGAAATCGCAGTGGCTTCAAAACCATTTAGTGAGGGTGAATTTGTAAAAACATGCATGATGAAGGCAGCGGAGATTGTGTGCCCTGAAAAGCGGCAGGCTTTTGCAAATATCAGCCTGACAAGAAACACAGTTGCAGACAGGATTTCCGATCTTTCAGTGGATTTGGACAGCCAGTTGAAGCAAAAAGTAAAGTCATTTATTGCGTTTTCGGTTGCAATTGATGAAAGCACGGACATTACAGATGTTGCACAACTGGCCATTTTCATCCGCGGAGTTGATGACACATTGACCGTCACCGAGGAGTTTGTGGAGTTGGTGCCGATGACAGATACAACGACAGCAGCTGATATTTTTACTGCACTCGTCGGCGCGCTGGACAGGGTCGGAGTGGACTGGTCCCGCACTGTCAGCCTGGCTACAGATGGTGCGCCCTCAATGATCGGGAAAAAAGCAGGCGTTGTGACAAAGTTCAGAGAGAATGTGCAATCTGCAAATGGAGGACGTGATTCTTTGACTTTTCACTGTATTTTGCACCAGGAGGCTTTGTGTTACAAGTCATTAAAGATGGATAACGTCATGAAGGTGGTCATCCAAACTGTTAATTTCATCCGATCCAGAAGCCTGAATCACCGTCAGTTTGACAGCCTTCTCAGAGAGAAAGACCACATCTATGGCCTGCCATACCACACTGAGGTAAAATGGTTAAGCCGAGGTGCTGTGCTGAGGCGTTTCTTTGATTTACGAGAAGAAATTGAACAGTTCATGGAAGAAAAGGGCAAACCAGTGTTAGAATTTCATTCCGCAGAATGGATGCCGGACCTTGCATTTATGGTGGATGTTACAGAGCACCTGAATAACTTGAACAAACAGCTGCAAGGGCGCAACAAAGTTGTCACACAGTATTATGACAGCATACGTTCTTTCAAGTTGAAGCTGTCATTGTGGGAGACGCAACTTGCCGGTGGTGATGCAGCTCACTTCCCCTGTCTGAAAAATGTGTGCGCGACCCAACATGTGGCAGACATGAAGCGGTTCAAAGATAAAATAACGGGACTGTTACGGGAGTTTGAGCAACGCTTTCAGATTTATGTTTATATGTTTTTATGTTGATGTGCTATTGTATTTAATTGATTTGATTTGATTTGCATATTTAACCTATTCTTGACTCTGTGGTTCTTGCACTTGTTTGGGGAACAGGATTTCATTATTTTTATCTACATTTCTGCCTGAGAAATGACACCCTGATATAGCTCTGTGATCTGTGAAACAGTTCTGTTAATCACTGAGGCATTGTGTGTTTGTGTGTTCTTTTTCTTTAGAATTTTCAAATAAACTTGACGTGTTTTATGATTAATAGTGATGTTGTGCTTGTACTATTTTGGACACACTGTCCTCAGGCTCCAGCTTTATGTTTTATGTTGATCGTATTAAAACAAAGAAAACAATCTGAAGTTGTTGTTTTTAAGTTATATATACCATGATTTTTCCGGTCCGGCCCACTTGGGAATAGATTTTCCTCCATGTGGCCCCTGAGCTAAAATGAGTTTGACACCCCTGCTTTAAGAGGATCAGATGAGTGGATGCTGGCAGGGGAGTGTGAATGTGTGTGTGTGTGTGTGTTGGGAACTGACTTTCCCTGATGGCAGAACAGTGCAGGGTCATGACAGTATGCCCTCTGGGTCATCATATTAAAGTATTATCTGTGTTTGTGACCGTGTGTGTGTTACCTGGAGCTGAGCTGGCAGAGGGACTGCAGAGAGGAGGAGGCCATGTAGCTGAGAGCTGCATTGTAACTCAGCAGCAGGAAGGTCAGCACCTCGAACCTACACACACACATTTATGTTACTATCCTTGTGGGGACCAACAAATGTATTCCCATTAAAAATACTATTTTTCCTAACCACTAACCCCTTAACCCGTAACTCCTCACCCTAACTTTAATTCTAACCCTAAACCTAAAAGCCTAAAATATCATTTTTCCTTGTGGGGAACGGCAAAATGTCTCCACTAGTCCAAATTCTCCTTGTTTTACTATCCTTGAGAGGACTTCTGGTCCCCACAAGGATAGTAAAACCACAAACACAAAATGCAACATTAACACAAACCAAGAACTGCTGCACAACAGTCAATTAGTCATAAAATAAATGTATCACACTGCAGTCCTGCTCCAATTCAACCACAGCTCGCGGTGTCTGACCTGTTCTGAGCAGTGAAGGTTTCTCTCTGTAGGTGAGGCCCGCTGTACACCACTCTACTCAGCCCGTGATTGGCTAAAGCCCCTTCCGTCAACGCCAGGGAGCCAATGGTGGAGGGCTGGTGGAGGGGTTTATTCATATTAATAACTTGACCCATAGAAAGTTTCAGTACTCTGGATTTTTGAGTCATGGATTAGAAACACTTTCTACGGGGGAAGATTTAACAGTTAGCCATCTCTATCCATACACTATTGTTCATAGAGAAAGACTGACTTGGACTTACCTCGTGGTAGACTGAGGGTTTAGAGAGGGAGGGGACAGTGAAGGAGAGGACTTTACTCTGTCCATCCTTATCTACGATCTCCTACAGAGAGAGAGGCGGGGGAGACAGAAGGAATGTCAGGTTGAAGGAAATAAAAGCAGTTTTAAGAGCGTGCCATGAAGCTCTGCAATGTCTGAGTGGTGTGTGTGTGTTAATGTCAGGATGAGTAATCGCTGAGACAGGATGATGACTGACAGCTGACCTATTCTGCTATTCTGAGAGAGAGACCGCGAGAGAGGGAGCAAGACCGCGTGAGAGAGAGCGAGACCGCTAGAGAAAGAGAGAGAGAGAGATACAGAGACCGAGGGAACGAGACCGAGAGAGAGCGAGAGAGAGCGAGAGAGAGCGCGACAGCGAGAGATGGCGAGAGAGAGACCGAGCGAGAGAGAGACCGAGCGAGCGAGAAAAGGGGGAAGAGCCGAGAGAGAGAGAAAAAACCGGGGAAGGGCCGAGCGAGAAAGGACAGAGCGAGAGGAGCAGAGACACGAGTGAGAGAGAAAATGGGGGCCAATGGCTCCTCTTCAGCCAAATATGATTTCCCTTCCATACCTGAGGGACACTGAATAATAACACTGCATGAAAATTTTAAAACCCGTTTTATTATTTTGTTTTTGGGCTTTATTGTTATTAAAATTATTTTGTTGTTTTTCACCCAAATAGTATTTTGGGTATGGGTGGTAATTTAATGAGGGGCATTTTAAAAATGTGGGGGTTTGTGGGATGGTAGTAAGATGAGTAGTTTAAAAACAAATGAAATGGTGAAGTTTACCTTATTTATTAAAAAGTTTATTATAGTTTTTTTTCCTTTTTAATTTTTTTAAATTTTTATTACTTTCTACTATTGCCTTTTTCCCAAATTTTTTTGTTATTTTTTTTTGAAATTTAAATTTTTAAATTTTTATTTACTCCCATCTTATAATTTTTTTTTTAAATTTTTTTTTTTTTTGGTTTGTTTTTATAAAAGGTTTTTAAAAAAGGGGGGGGGGGGGGGGTTGGTAAAAAAAAACAAAAAAAATTGGGGGGGGGCTTTGAAAATTTATGAAAAATGTTTTAAAATTGGGAAAAAATAAAAGGGGGCCTTTAAATTTTGAGAGACAACAAAGAGAGAGAAAAAAAAAAGTTTGGAGAAAAAGAAGAAAAAGAGCCCAAACGAGAAAAAACCAAAAGAGAAAAAAAGAAAAAAGAAAGAGAAGACAAAAAGAAAAAGAAGAGAGAGGGGAAAAAACAAGAGAGGAGAGTAAGACAAGAAAGGGAGAGAGAGAGAGAAACGAAAGGAGGGAAAAGACACAGGAGAGAAAAAACGAAAAGGAGAGAGAAAGAGAGAGAGAGAAAAACGAAGAAAACCGAGAAAGAAGAAAGAGAAAAACGAGAGGACGAGACAACCGAGAAAACAAGAAAACAGAGAAAAGCGGAGGAGAGAGCCCCCGTAGAGAGAGACACGAGAGAGAGAGAAAAAACCGAGAGAGAGAGCCCGGAGAAAAGGGGGGGACCAGCGAGAGAAGAAAAAAAGAGAACGGGGAAAACGACGAGAGGAGAGAAAAGTAGAGAGAGAGAAAACGAAGAGAGGAGAACGAGGAAAAGAGAAGAAAAAGAGGGGAGAGAAGAAAACAAAAAGAGAGAAGCGAGAGAGAGGGGAACGCAAGGAGAAAAGAAAGGCGGAGAAGCGAAAAAAGAGAAGCGAGAGAGACAGCACAAGCGGAAGAGGGATGAAAAAGGGAGGGGGAGAGAGCCCGAGAAAAGGAGTAAAGAAAAAGGGAGAGAGAGGGGAAGAACACAAAGAAGAGGGGAGCCGCAAAGAGAGAGAGACAGCGAAAAAGAGAGGGGAAAGCAAGGGAGAGAGACAGAAGAGAGGAGACCCAAGAGAGGAGAGGAAAGAGAGAACAATAAAGGGAAAAAAGAAAACCGAAAAGATAGAGAAAGCGAGAGAGATAGAGAGAGAAAAAGAACGCTGATAAGAAAACTTAAAGACAACGAAAAGAAAACGAGGGGAGGAGACAACGCCCAAGGCGAAAACACAAGAAAAAGGAGAAAAACCGAGATAAAAAACCCAAACCGAGGGGAGAGCCGAAAAACAGCGAAAAGAGAGAAACAGCAAGGGGAGAGAAACAGCAAAATAGAAAAAAAGAGAGAGGGAAACAGCAAAAGAGACACGAAGAAAAAGCGAAAGAGAAGAAATAAGGGGAAAAGGAAAAAACAACGAAGGAGAGAGCCCAGCGAGAGAAAAAGGAAAAAGAGACACGAGAAAAGAGAGAAAAAGCAAGAGAGAGAAAACGAGAGGGGAAAAATGCCAAAAAAACAAGACAGGGGGAGAGGGGAGAGAGAAGGAGGGGAAAGGACGGAAGGAGAAAAGGGTGAGAGAAAAGAGAGAGGAAAAACAAACGGAGAAAAAGGGGAGAGAGAGAAAAGAAAAAGGGGGAAAAAGGAAAACAGAAAAGCGAAAGGAGAAGACAGGAGGGGAGACCCCGGGACAGGGGGAGAGAGCAACAGGAGAGAAAAGAGGAGAGCCACAGCGAAGAGAGGAACGCAAAGAGAAACACGAAAAAAGGAGAGAAAAAAGGAGAGAGAGGGGAGAAAAGCGAGAGAAACAACGGGAGAGAAAGCAAGCGGAAAAGGAGCAGGAGAGAGAGCGAGACACGAGAGAGAGAAAAACCAAAGAGAAGAAGAAGAAAGGGAGAGAGAGACAAGGGAAGAGAGAACAGGGGAGAGAGCCCCCCTGCCAGAATAAAGAAAAAAAAAAGCGGAGAGATGAAAAAGCCGAGAAGATCTTTAAAAAAGCGAAAAAGAGACAGAAAAAACCCGAGAGAGCGAGAACCGAAATAAAAGGCGACAAAAGGAAGAGAAAAGGAGAGAGAGAGAGAGCGCACGAAAAGAGAGAGAAAAAGGAGAGAGAGATAAAAAAGAGAAGAGAAAAAAAACCCCGAAAGAGAGAAAAAACACGGAGAGAGAGAGAGAAAAAACGAGGAGAGAGAACAAGAGAGAGAAACCCAACGAGAGAGAGAGAGGGAAAAAACGAGAGAGAGAGAAAAAACAAGGGAAGAGAGAGAAAAAAGAAAAAAACGAGAGAGAAGAGGAAGACAACGAAAAGAAAGAGAGAGAAAAAACGAGAGAGAAAAAGAAAGAGAAAAAAGAGGACCAACGAGAGGAGAGACAAAAAACGGAAAAAAGAGAGAGAGACAAACGAAATAGAGAGAGGAAAAAGGGAGAGGGGAAAAAAAAAAGAGAGAAAACAAAAAACCGGAGAGAGAGAAAAAAGAAAAAAAACGAAAGGGGAAGAAAAGGAGAGACAAAAAAAGGAGAGGAGAGAGAGAGACAACGAGAGAGAGAAAGATAGAGCTCCAGGACAACAACACATTTAAACCCAACCAAATCATGAGAAAAAAAAATAGAATTACTTGACACATTGGAAAGAATTAACAAAAAAACTGAGCAAACTAGAATGCTATTTGGCCCTAAACAGAGAGTACACAGTGGCAGAATACCTGACCACTGTGACTGACCAAAACTTAAGGAAAGCTTTGACTATGTACAGACTCAGTGAGCATAGCCTTGCTATTGAGAAAGCCCGCCGTAGGCAGACCTGGCTCTCAAGAGAAGACAGGCTAAATGCACACTGCCCACAAAATGAGGTGGAAACTGAGCTGCACTTCCTAACCTCCTGCCAAATGTATGACCATATTAGAGACACATACTTCCCTCAGATTACAGAGATCCACAAAGAATTCAAAAACAAACCCAATTTTGATAAACTCCCTTATCTACTGGGTGAAAAACCACAGTGTGCCATCACAGCCGCAAGATTTGTGACGTGTTGCCACAAGGAAAGGTCAACCAGTGAAGAACAAACACCATTGTAAATACAACCCATATTTATTTTCCCATTTGTACTTTAATTACTTGCACATTGTTACAACACTGTATATATACACATAATACGACATTTGAAATGTCTTTATTCTTTTGGAACTTCTGAGTGTAATGTTTACTGTTAATATTTATTGTTTATTTCACTTTTGTTTACTATCTACTTCACCTGTTTTGGCAATGTTAACATACGTTTCCCATGCCAATAAAGCCCGTAAATTGAAATTGAATTGTGAGGGAGAGATCGCGAGAGAGTGTGTGTGTGTGTGTGTGTGTGTCTCTCACCAGGTTGTAAATCCCCAGTAGCAGGGCCTCTACACAGCCTGAGGTGTGTGGGTCCCTGGCTGCAGACGGAGCCAGGAGGAGGGACCAGAGCAGCTCAGGGAGGAACTGGAGCACAAACCGCTGCAGCCGCTGCTCCCCGCTACGGTAGAACTCAAACAACTGGTGACACACCGGCTCCAACAGCTAGACGACAGAAAGAAGAAGGAGAAAGTTTGAAGGATAGTTCACTTTTTGAAGTTTTAGTTTCAACATACCTAGGATGTTGTTGTTGTTGTTGTTTCATCTAAACCATTTTAAAGTTAGCTGGTTATCTAGCAAAGATCAGAAGCTCCTGGCTAGCATTTTTGCAGAATATAGCAATGCTAGTGGAAAAGGATTGCATCACTGTGCGTGTTTCCGTTGTATGTGTGCAGTACGTACGTCACTGTAGTTCTCTCTGATGACCTTGTAGAGCGCTGGGACCAGGGAGCCTTTCTCCTTCAGAGACGCTGCGTAGCTGGACACTGCACTGTCAGGGAGGGTCTACACACAAACACACAGATCAACACTCTGTACCCGGAGCAACCTTGAAATAACAGGTAACGATGTGTGTACGCGTGAGAATACGTGTGCATGTGTGAGAGAATGAGTGATTGTTTTGTTTGTTTGAGTGAGTGAGTGAGAGCAACAAAGTCTTCTCATGTTTTGTTCATTTCAAAAAAGCTTTTGACTCTATTTGGCATGAAGGTCTGCTATATACACATTGATGGAAAGTGGTGTTGGGGGAAAAACATATGACATTATAAAATCAATGTACACGAACAACAAGTGTGCATTTAAAATTTGACAATTAAGGCACATTTCTTTCCACAGGGCAGTGGGGTGAGACAGGGATGCAGCTTGAGCCCCACCCTCTTCAACATACACTACCGGTCAAAAGCTTTAGAACACCTACTCAATCAAGGATTTTTCTTTATTTTTACTATTTTCTACATTGTAGAATAATAGAGAAGACATCAAAACTATGAAATAACACATATGGAATCATGTAGGCGGCGCACAATTAGCCCAGCGTCGTCCAGGGTAGGGGAGGGCTTGGCCGGCAGGGATGTAGCTCAGTTGGTAGAGCATGGTGTTTGCAACGCCAGGGTTGTGGGTTCGATTCTCACGGGGGCCAGTATGAAAAATAAAAAAAATAATGTATGCACTCACTAACTGTAAGTCGCTCTGGATAAGAGCGTCTGCTAAATGACTAAAATGTAAATGTAAATGTATGTAGTAATATATTTCATTTGAGATTCTTCAAATAGCCACCCTTTGCCTTGATGACAGCTTTGCACACTCTTGGCATTCTCTCAACCAGCTTCACGAGGTAGTCACCTGGAATGCATTTCAATTAACAGGTGTGCCTTCTTAAAAGTTAATTTGTGGAATTTCTTTCCTTCTTAATGCGTTTGAGCCAATCAGTTGTGTTGTGACAAGGTAGGGGGGGTATACAGAAGATAGCGATATTTGGTAAAAGACCAAGTCCATATTATGGCAAGAACAGCTCAAATAAGCAAAGAGAAACTGCAGTCCATCATTACTTTAAGACATGAAGATCAGTCAATACGGAAAATTTCAAGAACTTTGAAAGTTTTTTAAAATGCAGTCGCAAAAACCATCAAGCGCTATGATGAAATTGGCTCTCATGAGGACCGCCACAGGAAAGGAAGACCCAGAGTTATCTCTGCTGCAGAGGATAAGTTAATTAGAGTTACCAGCCTCAGAAATTGCAGCCAAAATAAATGCTTCACAGAGTTCAAGTAACAGACACACCTCAACATCAACTGTTCAGAGGAGACTGTGTGAATCAGGCCTTCATGGTCAAACTGCTGCAAAGAAACCACTACTAAAGGACACCAATAAGAAGAAGAGACTTGCTTGGGCCAAGAAAAACGAGCAATGGACATTAGACCGGTGGAAATCTGTCCTTTGATATGGAGTCCAAATTGGAGACTTTTGGTTCCAACCACCGTGTCTTTGTGAGATGCGGTGTGCTTGAACGGATGATCTCTGCATGTGTTTTCCCACCGTAAAGCATGGAGGAGGAGGTGTTATGGTGTCGGGGTGCTTTGCTGGTGACACTGTCTGTGATTTATTTAGAATTCAAGGCACACTTAACCAGCATGGCTACCACAGCATTCTGCAGCGATGCGCCATCCCATCTGGTTTGGGCTTAGTGGGACTATCATTTGTTTTTCAACAGGACAATGACCCAAAACACACCTCCAGGCTGTGTAAGGGCTATTTGACCAAGAATGAGAGTGATGGAGTGCTGCATCAGATGACCTGGCCTCTACAATCTCCCGACCTCAACCCAATTGAGATGGTTTGGGATGAGTCGGACCGCAGAGTGAAGGAAATGCAGCCAACAAGTGCTCAGCATATGTGGGAACTCCTTCAAGACTGTTGGAAAAGCATTCCAGGTGAAGCTGGTTGGAGAAAATGCCAAGCGTGTGCAAAGCTGTCATCAAGGCAAAGGGTGGCTATCTGAAGAATCTCAAATATAAAATATATTTTGATTTGTTTAACACTTTTTTGGTTACTACATGATTCCATATGTGTTATTTCATAGTTTTGATGTCTTCACTATTATTCTACAATGTAAAAAATAGTAAAAATAAAGAAAACCCTTCAATGAGTAGGTGTTCTAAAACTTTTGACTGGTAGTGCATTCGGAAAGTATTCAGACCCCTTGACTTTATCCACATTTTATTATGTTACAGCCTTATTCTAAAATGTATTCAATTATTTATTTTTCATCAATCTACACACAATACTCCATAATGCCAAAAACAGAAATACCTTATTTACATAAGTATTCAGACCCTTTGCAACGAGACTCGAAATTGAGCCTAGGTGCTTCAGGTTTCCATGAATCATCCTTGAGATGTTTCTACAAGTTGATTGGAGTCCACCTGTGGTAAATTCAATTGATTGGACATGATTTGGAAAGGCACACACCTGTCTATATAAGGTCCCACAGTTGACAGTGCATGTCAGAGCAAAAACCAAGCCATGAGGTCGAAGGAATTGTCTGTAGAGCTCCAAGACAGGATTGTGTCGAGGCACAGATCTGGGGAAGGGTACAAATACATGTCTGCAGCACTGAAGGTCCACAAGAACATAGTGGCCTCCATCATTCTTAAACGGAAGAAGTTTGCAACCACCAAGACTCTTCCTAGAGCTGGACGCCCAGCCAAACTGAGCAATCGGGGGAGAAGGGCCTTGGTCAGGGAGGTGACCAAGAACCCAATGGTCACTGACAGAGCTCCAGAGTTCCTCTGTGGAGATGGAAGAACCTTCCAGAAGGACAATCATCTCTGCAGCACTCCACCAGTCAGGCCTTTATGGTAGTTGCCAGACAGAAGCCACTCCTCAGTAAAAAAGGCACATGACAGCCCGCTTGGAGTTTGCCAAAAGGCCCCTAAAGGACTCTCAGACCATGAGAAACAAGATTCTCTGGTCTAATGAAACCAAGATTGAACTTTTTGGCATGAATGCCAAGTATCACATCTGGAGGAAACCTGGCACCAACCCTACGGTGAAGCATGATGGTGGCAGCATCATGCTGTGGAGATGTCTTTCAGCGGCAGGGACTTGGAGACTAGTCAGGTTTGAGGGAAAGATGAACGGAGCAAAGTACAGAGAGATCCTTGATGCTCCAGAGCGCTCAGGACCTCAGACTGGGGCCAAGGTTCACCTTCCAACAGGACAATGACCCTAAGCACAAAGCCAAGACAACGCAGGAGTGGCTTTGGGACAAGTCTCTGAATGTCCTTGAGTGACCCAGCCAGAGCCCGGACTGGAACCCGATCTAACATCTCTGGAGAGACCTGAAAATAGCTGTGCAGCGACGCTCCCCATCCAACCTGACAGAGATAGAAAGGATCTGCAGAGGAGAATGGGAGAAACTCCCCAATACAGGTGTGCCAAGCTTGTAGCGTCATACCCAAGAAGATTCGAGGCTGTAATCGCTGCCAAAGGTGCTTCAACAAAGTACTGAGTAAAGGGTCTGAATACTTATGGAAATGTGATATGTTTTTTATTTTTAATACATTTGCAAAAATTTATAAAAAACGGTTTTTGCTTTGTCATTCTGGGGTATTGTGTGTAGATTGATGAGGGGGGAAAAAACAATGTAATCCATTTTAGAATAAGGCTGTAATGTAACAAACTGTGGAAAAAGTAAAGGGGTCTGAATACTTTCCATTTTTTAAAAACCTTTTTGATGTGCAATGTTTACAGTTAATTTCTAATAGCTTTATGTTGATGTTAAATTTGTTTCTTCTCACTTTTTTTTAAATTGCCAAAGTAAGTGAAATAAACAATGTAAACATGTTTCCCATGCCAATAAAGCCCCTTTGAATTGAGAGCGCGAAAGAGCGAGAGAGAGAGACAGAGAGAGAGCGAGCGAGCACGGCAGATAGCAACAGAGAGCGAGAGAGAGAGACAGAGAGACACAGCTGCAGTGAATACTGATGATGGAGACACATTGACACTGGCTCTCTAACTCACACGCACGCCTCACCTTAAACTCTGACAGCCATTCCTCCACCACTCCTTGGTCCATAGCCAACATCTTCCGTCATCTGCTGTGGACACACCTCTACCTGGGAAGCAAGCAGAGAGACTGTTATTAAAAGTTGACAATGGGCAAAAACGCAAAAATAACGACTTTAAACTGTATAACTGATCAATGCACCATCATACCAGGTCATTTAATGGTTAAAAAAATAAATAAATATAAATATATATATATATATATATATATATATATATATATATATATATATATATATATATATATATATATATATATATATATATATATATATATATATATAAATTAATCAGATATTTCGCTACAGAAGTGCCCTTCCTTACCGATCTCTACAGCTTCCATCCAAAAACAAATCCGGTGAAATCACATCAACACATACTGGAGGAGTTACTGGCTAGCTACAAGTGGCTAGTTTAGCTAACGAATTAGCTATGTCTGGAGGAGTTACTGGCTAGCTACTAGTGGCTAGCTTAGCTAACGAATTAGCTATGTCTGGAGGAGTTACTGGCTAGCTACTAGTGGCTAGCTTAGCTAACAAATGGTCGGACAAGGAGCACATGCCCAGAATGATCGATGAACCACCAAAAGGCACACCCAATTTCTATTTGAAAATTGAGAAAGGAGTGTTTGTACCCAAAGTTGACCTTTAACACAACAAAGACACACAATCCAAACACCCTTCCTTCCTTCTCGTTTCTCCCCTGATTGCAGCTTCAGATATTCTCTGCTGTTTCTCAGCTCTCTCATTATCAACAGTATTCTCCCTCGCTGTCTCTTTCACTTCCTCCTTTTCTTTATAATGTTACTTCAGGCTCTCCCGCAAGGTACATAAAAGTGTGTGTGAGAGAGAGAGTGTGTGTGAGAGAGAGCTATCTACTTCACTTGCTTTGGCAATGTTAACATACGTTTCCCATGCCAATAAAGCCCTTAAATTGAAATTGAATTGAGAGCAGGAGAATATAAGAGAGAGAGAGAGAGAGAGAGAGAGCGAGAGAGAGAAACCAGAAAGGTAAACCAGTGAAGAACAAACACCATTGTAAATACAACCCATGTTTATTTATTTTCCCATTTGTACTTTAACTATTTGCACATTGTGACAAGACTGTATATAAACATAATATGACATTTGAAAAATCTTTATTCCTTTGGAACTTTTGCGAGTTTAATGTTTACTGTTAATTTTTTATTTCACCTTTGTTTATTATCTATTTCACTTGCTTTGGCAATGTTAACATATGTTTCCCATGCCAAAAAAGCCCTTTCAGACAGAGAGAGAGACAGAGAGAGAGACAGAGAGACAGAGAGACAGAGAGACAGAGAGACAGAGAGACAGAGAGAGAGAGAGAGAGAGAGAGAGAGAGAGAGAGAGAGAGAGAGAGAGAGAGAGAGAGAGAGAGAGAGGAGAGAGAGATGGGGGTGTGTGAGAGATGGGGGTGAGTGAGAGTCTCTCAGAGCGTTCAGTCAGCCCACTGACAACCCTATCAGATTAACAGCAAAATCACAGTATACTTGAACAGAGCAATACTCAATCATGAGGCATCAAAGCCAAAGGAACTGAATAATATTAAGAAATGCTATAGATGGAAGGAAAATAGTGTAGAAACCTACCAAAAAAACAATTAGGCAACAACAAATTCAATCCCTTCTAGACAACTTCCTGGACAAAACTTTTCACTGTAATGGTGAAGGTGTAAACTTGGCAGTAGAAAACCTAAACAATATATTTAACCTCTCAGCTTCCCTATCAAATCTAAAAATGTAAAGCAGACAACCTAAGAAAATTAACAACAATGACAAATGGTTTGATGAAGAATGCAAAAACCTAAGAAAGGAAATGAGAAACCTATCCAACCAAAAACATACAGACCCAGAAAAAGAGCCTACGCCTTCACTATGGTGAATCACTAGAACAGTACAAAAATACACTACGGAAAAAGAAGGAACAACATGTCAGAAATCAGCTCAATGTAACTGAAGAATCCATAGACTAACCACTTCTGGGAAAATTGGAACACACTAAACAAACAACACGAAGAGCTATCTATCCAAAATGGAGATCTTTTCAGCTTTATAACAAAGAACAAACAGCAAAAACATATACATGATCAAATCCAAATCTTAGTCTTTAATAGTTGATTCTATCTGCAAAAATATCCTCAGTGTACAACATAAAACACCAAATAATGCATGCAGAGCAGAATTAGGCCGATACCCGCTAATTATCAAAATCCAGAAAAGAGCAATAAAAAATTCTACAACCACCTAAAAGGAAGCGATTCCCAAACGTTCCATGACAAAGCCATCACCTACAGAGAGAGCAACCTGGAGAAGAGTCTCCTAAGCACGCTGGTCCTGGGGCTCTGTTCACAAACAAACAGACCCCACAGAGCCCCAGGACAGCAACACAATTAGACCCAACCTAATCACGAGAAAACAAAAAGATAATAAGTTGACAAATTGGAAAAAAAAATTACAAAACAAATCAGAGCAAACTAGAATGCTATTTGGCCCTAAACAGAGAGTATACAGTGGCAGAATACCTGACCACTGTAACTGACCCAAACTTAAGGAATGCTTTGACTATGTACAGACTCAGTGAGCATAGCCTTGCTATTGAGAAAGGCCGCCGTAGGCAGACCTGGCTCTCAAGAGAAGACCGGCTATGTGCACACTGCCCACAAAATGAGGTAGAAACTGAGCTGCACTTCCTAACCTCCTGCCAAATGTATGACCATATTAAAGACACATATTTCTCTCAAATTACATAGACCCACCAAGAATTCAAAAACAAATCCAATTTGGATAAACTCCGATATCTGTTGGGTGAAATGCCACAGTGTGCCATCACAGCAGCAATTTGTGACCTGTTGCCACAAGAAAAGGGCAACCAGTGAAGAACAAACACCCATATTTATGTCTATTTTCCCTTTTGTACGTTAACTATTTGCATATCGTTACAAGCCATAATTTAACATTTGAAATGTCTCTATTACTTTTGTGAGTGCAATGTGTACTGTTAATTCTTTATTTCACTTTTGTTTATTATCTATTTCACTTGCTTTGGCAATGTAAACATATGTTTCCCATGCCAATAAAGCCCTTTGAATTTAATTGAGAGGGTGAGAGAGAGAGCGAGAGAGAGAGAGAGAGCGAGAGAGAGCGAGAGAGAGCGGGAGAGAGCGAGAGAGAGCGAGCGAGAGAGAGCGGGAGCGAGCGAGAGAGAGCGGGAGCGAGCGAGAGAGAACTCTCATGCAGGAACATGTGCTCAGTTTAGTTGAAGAAAGAATAATCCACTTCTTAAGATTCTTTATATTCACATGTGACGTCACACACACGACACATTCGTCTGGTACTACACACAAACACACACAAACCCACACACACACAGACCCATCTCCTTGTATGGTATAAACAGAGCTAGATGAATCATATAAATATTATCCAGCTACAGTGTTTCCATGGACTCCACCTACTAGACTAGAGAACACATAGCGACCAAATGTTGACCATGGCAACAGGGGATCACTGGAAGTCAGTCATTTTAACAGGGTAGAGGCACAGTGGAGTGTTGCGAGGGAGCAGGTCAGGTTTGCCCAACACAAAACATGAACTTGAGTGTGTCGGTTATAATATTCACCTCTATAGCTATGTTTCCATTAACTTGTCCCGTGATTTTTTGTTGACATTTGGAAAGTTTGCTAAACAAATATTTGACAATTGCCTGCTAGGGTGCGTTTACATCGAACTATCTTGAGTCGATAAAAACAGCTGAACGTAATGTGTCACACCTAAAAAAATTAAAACACAGAAAACTAGTGTCGAATAACAATGTAGTGGTTGAAGTGTTCCCATTTAGGCAAATTGTGCATTAATAAATTGGCGACCGCTTGTATGCTCTCCCACCTACAGTGCCTTCAGAAAGTATTCACACCCCTTGACTTTTTCCGCATTTTGTTGTGTTACAGCCTGAATTTAAAATGGATTAAATTGAGATTGTTTGTCAATTGCCTAAACACAATACCCCCATAATGTCAAAGTGGAATTATGTTTTTCGAAATTTTTACAAGCGGAAATGTCTTGAGTCAATAAGTATTCAACCCCTTTGTTATGACAAGCCTAAATAAGTTCAGGAGTAAAAATGTGCTTAACAAGTCACATAATAGGTTGCATGGATTCACTGTGTGCAATAAGTGTTTAACATGATTTTTGAATGACTACTTCATCTCTGTACCCCACATATACAATTATCTTTAAGGTCCCTCATTTGCGCAGTACATTTCAAACACAGATTCAACCACAATGACCAGGGAGGTTTTCCAATGCCTCGCAAAGAAGGGTACCTATTGGTTGATTGGTAAAAAAAAAAAGAAAAAAAATGCAGACATTGAATATCCCTTTGAGCATGGAGAAGTTATTAATTAAACTTTGGATGGTGTATCAATACACCCAGTCACTACAATGATACAGGCGTCCTTTCTAACTCAGTTGCTGGAGAGGAAGGAAACCGCTCAGGGATTTCACCATGAGGCCAATGATGACTTTAAAACAGTTAGAGTTTAACATCTGTGATAGGAGAAAACTGAGGATGAATCAACAACATTGTAGTTACTCCACAATACTAACCTAATTGACAGAGTGAAAACAAGGAAGTCTGTACAAAATACAAATATTCCAAAACATTCATCCTGTTTGCAACAAGGCAGTAAAGTAATACTGCAAAGAATGTGCAAAGCAATTAACTTTTTGTCCTGAATACAAAGTGTTTGTTTGGGGCAATCCAATACAACATATTACTGACTACATAGTGGTGGCTGTTATGGATATGCTTGTAATCGTTAAGGACTGGGGAGTATTTCAGGATAAAAAAGAAACGGAATGGCGCTAAACACAGACAAGTCCTAGAGGAAAACCTGGTTCAGTCTGCTTTTTCTACACTGTAGTTTCTTACCAAGAAGACAATGAATGTTCCTGAGTGGCCGAGTTTGAAGACTTGAAAATCTATGGCAAGGCCTGAAAATGGTTGTCTAGCAATGATCAACCACCAAATTG